TATAAAAATTAATGCATTTTAATTTTTCAAGTTATAATATATAATTTTAGTCATTTCAGTCACTTTAGTTAATGTTGGAGGGTAAAAAACGGGTTTGTCACGTTGAGAACTAGGAAAAAAATTGGTGTGCTAAGATCTTTAATTTTTTCGGATTCTCATACATAACATGATTGACTTTGAAGTTCGAGCTCAGTCAAACTCCACTTGGTTGAAGGTAATGTCGTGTTATGATCTTAGGGACCTGACAGTCTGTGATTGTATAACTAATTCCTCGATAGTACAATTGAATGGTCGAATGTCGCTATCATCTAACTCTCTATAAATAAAAGCATTATTCTGATCTAGGTACGCAATGTGAACCTCAACTTGAGACCTTAGATCGAACTCTCACTAACTTAGCGTTGTAGGTGTTTTCTTTTTTTTGTGCATGTCTTCCTCATCAAGCTCGCTCTGCAAACTCGACCATACTCGATCTTCTCCAATTCTTGAGCAAGATCAAAATCCACCATAAACAATTAAAATTCTCATTTAAAATTTGATCGAAAAACAGCTCACTTACAAAACGTAGACAAGAAAAAGAAGTTCAAACCTTGAATCTAACGAAAGATTAAAAGCTATGTCAAATCTTCTACGATTCAAAAGTAATACAATGGAAAAGTGGTTGGTCAATTATCTCAATGTTTTATATACTTCATTACAATAACGTTTTTAATGTCAATAAACTTAATCATTACATTTATAATATAGGATAGTAATATCAGTTAGTATGGGGTTGAAATTTAAATCTTCCACCCCTAGAAAAACGTAAAGATGTTTTAAACCAAGTTATCAAACTGTAAATAACGAAAAATATAGAAATCAAAGAGGTAACTCACACTCTTCTCGTCTTAAAATCTTAATTAGGATTTCAAAATAGATTACAAAAGATAAAAAGTAGTTTTAACTATGTTTTCAAAATTTTCATATTGTAACATAGTAAAAGAATACTTTTTAAATTTCTAAAAATACTTTTACAAAGATACTTTAAGAAGACACATCCAAATAAAACGCTTTTTCTGAAGAGTACTTATTATAAAGTAGAAATATCCCATTTAAAATTACTATTCTCTTCTCAAACATTTTCAAAACTACGTACCACTAAAAACAAAATCATCATCAAACATAATCTCTCTCATTTCATAATGATTATCTACTTACTTCATCTCGTGAATCAAATTAACATCTATCATATTCCAGACTAGACTGTATCCTCTCAATTTACTCACTCTCAAGTCTCACTAATAAATCAAGATTGGCCTTAGAACGTGGTAGCCATATATTCATAAACTGAAAAATTCATTTATAAAATATTTTTTTATTGCCTTTGCCGACTTTATGGCCTTTGCTTATATGCTCAAAGGCTAGGGCGGCGGTCAACTATTTCTGCCAATTTTAGTTAATTATATATATATATATATATATATAGCTTATGTTATAGATCAATAAATTTAAGTTAAGTGAATGTCAAAGATCATGGGGTTAATGGTTTTAGGTATATTGCTATTTCCTATAAAGTTTGTATTTTTTAATTGAGAAGAAAAACGGGGTCTAGCTTCATGGTTTACAATAAACGAGTAAAAACCCAACTCAAAAATTCTTTCGCAATTGAGTCAAACATAATATATTAATGATTTTAATTCTAATTTTAAATTTCTTTTTCAGTACAACATATTGGGGAGGGGGTTCGAACTCACAACCTTGATTGAAGGTATATATCAATTACAATTTTTTAGTTATTAAATTTTGAATTAAAAATTATAATTAATTTTTAAGTATTTAGAGTTACACATAATAGATAGACAAAGAGTCCGATTTCAAAATGAATTAGAAACTATGACTAAAATAATTTTCTTTTTATGTAAATATTTAAGAAATAAAATAAAACATTAAAAGGCCGAGGCAACAAAAATTTATAAATTTATCAACCAAAAGAAAATATATATGAAAGTTAGAATATACAACTTATTAAATAAAAAAATATGGAATTACAGATCTATATGAAAGAAGTCAAACATTATATTACTCTTGTTTCTTATGTGTATATATATATTTCTAGTACCTCTCATATATATATATATATATATATATATATATATATATAGTGTGTGTGTGTGTGTGTCTTAATTGAATGTGAATAAATGTCAAAAGAACCAAAATAAGAATTATATATACCATGTTCTTTTCAGCTTCTCCTTTGTTATATTATGGTTTTGAAAGTTTTTCTTCTTCAAGACACCTTACTAAAATTATTTCAAAGAAAATAAAAGTATATATATTTTTTCTTTTATGCGGAGGGTCTCGATTTTAAACCCCAAATCGTGTTCACATTTACCATTCGCTTCACGAAAATTATGGTGGAAGAAAATGTGCTTCTATCTAAACGTTGATTAAGAAATTAGTCGTCAGGTCTCCCTTATTTTTTTTCTTAGATTCAAAAAGTTACTAATTTTTTTCTCCCTCATATTCACATTATAGATGAGAGAAAACTTGTCTCATCTGAGCATTTTACAAGGAAGTAATTTATTGCCCCTTCGATTTGTTTTCAATTCAAAAAGTTAGATTTAAAAAGAATTAAGATTTTAAAGTATATATATATATATATWTTAAGGTAATTAAAAGGTGAGAATTTTAACCTTTCTTACGTAAATGAGAACATGTAGGCGTTCCATTATTACTTAGAACTCGTTTAAGACGTTGTTTAAAATATTAAAATAAAATAAAATATATTTTTATTTTTAAAGTTGTTTGATAAAACTATAACAAAGATCATAGTTATTGGTAAAAAGTTAAGATTATAGTGCACTTTATATTACTATCCAAAACTCTAATATCAAATCTTAATGTTCTGTGTTTTGGTTTTGGCTAATTAAGCTCAATATATTATCTATAAAAAGTATTTATTTTATTTTATTTTACTTTCAAATATTCTATATATTTTAGCTCATGAAAAACATAAAGTTTTTGTCGTTAGATTTTTTTAACTATTTAACAAAAATCTAATATTATTATATTAGTTCCAATTTTTTTCAATTTTGAATCATGTGCCTCTTAAGATGGTAGTTCTTTTGGGCTCAACGATTTTGACCGGATCCTATTTTTGGACTGGAAACTCGTTTGAGTTTTTTAGACTCTAATATCATATAATATTTCAAAATCGTTTAATTAAGAAATGACTAATCCATATGTATTATAAACATTTATTAGATCTTTTATCTTTTCAACTAGAATCATTAATGACCTATTAGACATCTGTTTTGTTAATTTAATTTAGAATTAAATGGTTATATGAAACCCTTTTGAAAACTACATGTTGTAGGCTAGGTCTCAAGTTTTAATTAATAAAAAATTAACAACTATAATTGAAGTAATTTTTAATACAAAGTTAGAAAATAAAAAACATAAAAGTTTTGGGACAAAAGTATGAAAACTCATTGACTTTCAATCCAATTTTTTCTTAATATATGAATGAATTACAAAGGAAAACATAAAGTTTTTAAAGAGGCTCTTTTCTCGAGAACTCCATGAAAAGAATATCTCATCTAGATATTACCAYGAGAGAGAGAACATCTCTCCTTTTTTTTAATTAAATTTAAAYTTTTAACTGTTTGAATAGAAGGATTCAATGTATCAAAAGAAAAAAGAAAAATTCAAAGGATTCAAGAGAGTAGTTTCAAGAAGGGGAAAAAATATCAAGACTAGAAGCCACCCCTAGAATCTTAATTCATTGGATAATATTTTCACACAAGTTACTTCAAACACACCGAAAATCCTAAGTTCAACAGCTAATAAGAAATAACTATGCGTCAAACTTAACCGGCTTGATCCATAGAATTTCTTTCCGTTAAAACAGATGTTTCTATTATCAACATAAACATAACTCAACGGTACCTAATACCTGCTCTTCTTTTTGTGGTCAGAAGCTCAAATCCTATACTCTCAATTTGTTGTACTAAAAGAACAAATGCTTCCATTATTTAAAGAATAATAATGATAAATGTTGAGCTATCTATCCCAGTGAAAAACACATAAAAACATATGTTTTTGTACATTTCTTAAAGACGGGTAGCCGCTTTTTTTGGAAGGCGTGGCACTCATGTGTGATATTTTTTCTTTCTTTAGAAACAAGAGAAGGGGAGAAGAAAAACCCATTAATTTCTAAAATAGAATTCACTAAATAATTTTGGTTAAATTATAAGTTTAGTCTATGAACTTGATGTGTCTAATAAGTTTTTAAATTTATAAAAATGTCGAATAGGTCTCCACATAGATTCTATTGAAAAATACTTAGGCGTTGACTGATGGGCACATCATTTATCTCGTGCTCGCCACCATTAAATTTTTTGTAATTAAAAGAGATAAATGAAAACAAAAATAATGAACTGTCAAACTTTTCAATATCAAGATAAGTGTTCACCAATGGACCGTGTTTTATTTTTCTATTTTGTGTCTTATAAATCTCTTTGAGTATCTAATCAGTTCATAAATTTTCAACCTTATTTCTAATAGGTTTCTAAATTTTTTAATTGATATCCAATAGATCCTAAATTGTTTTGACACGTCCTTTTAAAATTCATATTTATTAAGATCTTTTAACTTTCAATTATAGGCCTATAATTTTTTAACAAATTTCAATTGATCATAGACCTATTACAAAGATTTAAAAAAAAAAAGTTAATTTTATTAGACACAAAATTGAAAATTTAAAGATACATGTGACTTATCATTTTAAAAATTTAACTAATAATTTTGTAAGAAATCCTCCAATTATTAAGTAATTATTATCACCCTTTTTCTGCAGCCAATTAATTATTATAATTAATCGTACTAAAAAAATTATTATAATTAATATCTTTAATTACAACAATCACTCACTTTAGGCTCACACACGTTCAACTCCCATTATAAATATACACTCTTCAACCACTTTCTTCTTCAACTCTCTCTCCAAGTTTCAGTCTCAAAATTCTTTCTCTCTCCGCCGTCTCTCTCTCTCTAGCATTTTTCCGGCGAAGTAAAAGGCAAATATATGGGCGGAAACTCGCCGTGCGCCTCCTGCAAGCTGCTCCGGCGGCGGTGCGCCAAAGACTGCATTTTTGCCCCTTATTTTCCCTCCGATGACCCCCACAAGTTTGCTATTGTTCATAAAGTCTTTGGTGCCAGCAATGTCAGCAAAATGCTGCAGGTTCTTTTCCTTCTTCCCCTTCCTCCTCCTCCATTTTCCCGACTTTTTGGGTTTTGAATTTCGGGTATTTTTCCTCATTTTCTCGTAGAAAAAGTACAACAAAAAATGTATAGCGTGTCAATGTATATCTCTATTGATGCAAAGTCTTTTTAACCAGCATAACTGCGAATTTAAAATACTAAATTTGAAACATGAGTTTTTCTAATTTTCTTCAATATTTCAAGACGATTTATCATATTAACAAACAAGATACTAATTACTTGCCAAATTAAAAACGTAAAAATTCTCTAATTTATTTGTGTTCTGAACAATATTTTGGTTGATACTTCTCGTCAATATGACATGTTTCTCTAATTTACATGATCATATGACATTGTCTACTTTAAGCGTAAATCTATATAGTTACCTCTTTCTTTTCCTTTTTTTAAGGGTTCTAGGTTGAAAAGTTAAGAGTAAATGAACTATTCATCTCGTTAATATTGATGTATTTACTATTATTCTTTAATCTTTTGTTCAATATCACCATTAATACAAAGATTTTTCAAGCCGACTCGAAACTCAAAACCGTTTTTCGAGCCGGAGAACCGAAAGAATACACAACAAAACATGAAAAGATAAAAAATAAATAAAAAGTTGAATTTGTGAATTGGATGAACATTTTTTTCTTTTTCTTTTTTGGGGTGAAATAGGAACTGCCGGTTTCACAAAGAGGCGACGCCGTGATGAGCCTAGTTTACGAGGCAAGTGCAAGAGTGAGGGACCCAGTGTACGGATGCGTAGGGGCAATTTCGTACTTGCAGAACCAAGTCTCACAGCTACAGATGCAGCTGGCGGTGGCGCAAGCCGAGATTCTGTGCATCCAAATGCAGCAAGACCACCCCGTTTTCCCAAATTGCCCCCAGATCCACTACTCCGGCGACAAGCTACTCCCGCCGCCGTCTCAGTGCCTCAATTTTGCCAACTCTCCTAATGTAATTTACGACACCGTTTTTGGACATGATATAGTTTCTTGAATAAAATCAACATCATTTCATAATATTTATTTTTCATCTCTTGCTATTGAAAAAATTAGTTCTTTCTCTACCTTATGGAATGTTAGAGGGAGAGAAAGAGGAATATGAGTGGAAAAATTATTCGAGTCACTGATATAACTACTCTAATAACAGTAGGATAAATCTTCAAAATCTGTCTACCCCTAAATAACGGTCTAAAATACTGTGCTTAAATTTTTCTTATACATGTCATTCGATTAAGGTTTCGATTAAGGTATAAAACTCAAGAGTCTAAATTCTCATTCTCAAATCTCTTTGAACTTAAAAAAAAAAATAAATAAATAATTCTCTCATACATCTATCAATTTAAAATGGTTAGCCACATATATATAATTTCAATCCCTCGAGTTTTATTATTATATTTTTTTGTGTCAAAAAATATTTATTATTTTATTTTTTTAATGAGGTTTATTAAAGAAAAACAAAGGTGAAGTTTTATGAGGTCAACGTTGCTAGAGACGATAAACAATTAAAGAAATAAATTAAAAATAGGGTTGTTGCGAGAGGGAGCTTCTAACTATTACTATATAGTTGAACTCACAAAATTCAAC